CTCACTCACTCATACTCCTAAAGTTCCAACAAGTCTATACAAGAAGGAATGGAGCCAGACACAGTTATCTATGACCAGCACTCTAAAGACAGGTATGACATTTCAGGGCCAGCTTGGTCTACATAGCAAGTTACAAGCCAACCAAGGCAATATAGGGAGACCTGTCTCAACATCCCTTTACTCCCCAAAAAGGCATAATGGAACTGCCAGCTTAAGTATTTTTAAAAGACTAAATAAAAAAAGAAAGTCACATCCTCGCTCCCAAAACAGCCATAAGGTTATTACACAAGCTGCTTTGCTCTGGAGTGTGATCACAACAACTGGGTCTTAGTACCGACTGGCAACCAAGCCTGTTTACTGAAATGGAAAAACAATACCTACTTTTATATAACAGATAATCTTTCACGAGTTCACAGTAAAGAAATAGACTCCTTGAGGTTCATATTCAAGAGCAGGACAAATTGATAAATCATGATGGGAAAAAAACAAAACAGCCCAATTTCCATGGCCTAGAAAGGAAAACACTTATGTTTGAGTTTTTACTTCTGACACTCTCCTTCATATGTAGCCAAATTACAGATTTCCTATCAATCCTCAGTGACCTTTAAGCATTTGTGTACTACCCATGACACTTTCTGATGTTCAAACTCTTTCTGATAAATTCTTAGCAGCTAGCTTTCAAAGTACTCTTCTAACAGAATATAATTAGAACAGTGGCCAATATAGTCAATAAAACAAGTATGAATGGGAAGAAAATACAAAGCACAAAATGATAATTACACAATATCCTCCTGACACCATTAAAAACTAGCTTGAAGAATCAGAACTATGAGAGAACATGAGAAAACATAAAGCAGAAACAACAAGACCTAAAGGGAGGACGAAAAATGTTACCATGAACTGCGCATGACCCAGAACGAGTCTTGAGGGGCAATCAACCATGGAAAAGGCAGACTGGGAAAGGGCACAAGGTAGGAGTCAGGAGCACATTCCACAAGAGGAAGAACAGCTGATACAGAAGGTGAGGAGGAAGAGTGGGCACAGTATCCTCAGAGGATGATTCCGAAACTGGTGTGTAAAGGTGAGATGCCATTCAGCCACACGTTATAGAAACTGCACAAGGATGCTCTTTGGTAGCTTAGTGACCTGGTGTGTAGAGTGCTCAATAAATACTGCTGCTGTCTAAAGAAGGAAAGGTAAAGAATGGGTCAAACTCACTACATTAATGACCTACAACTTCTTACAAAATGACAAATCACAAGTCTTAGACAGGTCCTTGTATTTGAATTCTAGTCACAGTTTTCCCTTGCTATTTTCCTTCTCAGCAAATTACACCCATATAAGCAGGCCCTGTAGATTATCAAAACACTCATATTTTAAAAGTATACCTTTTATAAGCACATACCAAAATCTTTATAGAAAAAAAATATATGTCTAAAGAACACTTCAAATCAATCCAACAGGAATATACATGAAATAAGATTGGCCAAAAGTTTATCATAGCTGAGGCTGGGTACATAACGTCTCTCTGTTCAGCTGTGTGTTTGTTAGTTTTCCATAATAAAGTTAACATACATCCTACTGAGAATCTGTAATTGTCTTCTGATCATGTCTAGTCATAATTCACTAGTACTCAATTTTAATAATACCTACTAGCAACACCACTGCACTGTGCACATCAATGCCTCCCTCTGCCCGTTATCCAAGTCTCAGCTTACTCCACTGCCTCCACCTGAGCCTCTCTCTGTCCTATTTGTCTCCAAGATGGCTCTCCATGGGATGCTACTGGCATTTTAGGTCAGATAACTCTCTGACATGGCAGACTGCCCAAACATTACAAAACATTAACACCCCTCTACCCTGGTAGTAAATGTCAGCACACGGGCCAACAGCAGCATCCACCACCCGCTGGAATAACCAAAACCACGCTTTCATACATTCCCCAATATCACACCATTATTAAGAATTCTAGTTCTGAAAGCAGACACATTTTCTCAACTTACTAGAATGAAGGTGTGGCTCCCCACAGTCTACAAATTTAGTACCCTATCATTTAGATCAGTTGTAACACACACACACACACACACACACACACACACACACACCCGCGCCATACCTTCAACTTCTACCTGAGTAATACCCTCCAACAACTGTTCAGGCCAGTCTACTCACTTTCTCCACTCTGACTACTACTTTCTTCTTTCCATATTTGCATTTTTTTTTTTTTTTTTTTTTTTTTTGTTTTTTGAGACAGGGTTTCTCTGTAGCTTTGGGGCCTGTCCTGGACTAGCTCTGTAGACCAGGCTGGCCTGGAACTCACAGAGATCTGCCTGGCTCTGCCTCCCAAGTGCTGGGATTAAAGGTGTGCGGCCACCACCGCCCGGCCTATACTTGGAATATCTTCACCAGCCTACAACCCTGGGCTTCTCCAGTCCGAGCATTAACTGTCCACTCACTCCTAAGAACTCAGCTTTCTCCAGCTTCAGTGTCTCATTTGGGTGGAGTTCCCTGGATCTGGAACACCCTTTCCTCCAGCCTTCCAAATCTGAACTCACCTGTTCAACTCCTCAAAGCTTCCTCTGAGGCACACCTTCAGCTCCTGTCTTAGGGTTGCTGTGATAAAACACCATGACCAAAAGCAACTTGTGGGGGCAAAAGGGGTCATTTCAGCTTACAACTCGGCTCACAACTCCATCACTGAGGTATGTCAAGGCTAGAACTCAAAGCAGGGAACTGAAGCACAAGTCATGGGCTGGGCCCTTCCTCATCAACCATTAGTGAAAAAAATGCCCCGCAGGCTTGCCTACAGGCCAGTCTTAAGGAAGCATTTCTTTCAACTGAGGTTCCCCCTGGGACTCTACCTCTGTCAAGTTGGCAAAAAAAAAAAAAAAAAAACTAGTCAGCACAGCTCCCTACTCAAAATTAGATGCTCCCTTTAGATTTCATACCATTACAGTAGCTGTCATGGTTGTATAAAACTCTCCAAGAAGTCCGAGTTCTCCCAAACACCAGCACCCACAACAGCATAACCAGATACTCTTCAGAAAGCGCCTTCTCTCCTCACCAAAGCACACTGCGGCCGTTTGCTTTTTCGGACATAAAGTAACTCACAGTCCGAACAGTACCCACCTTCTTCTGTAGGCTCTGCTAACTACGTTAAGGTCAATTATCACAATGCCAAGGCCTTTGCCAACTCCCACGTTTGGGGGTTATGTATTGAATTAACAGAAGGAATCTTAGCCATATTTAAAATACTGCTGTAATAAAAGTGTCTCCAGCACATGAGATCAACTCCACAATGACTAGCCAGCCGCATGACACACTTCGGTGGGGGAGGGAGTTCACTAACAATTCGGTATTCTACCAAGCTTCTGGCTTAAACGGGAAAGATAACTGCTGCCCACATGTCTCTCCAGCTTTCTAACCCGACCTGATCTTTCCGGGTAGGAAACTGGACAGCATCTCCCTTCCCCTGCTGGTCATGTTCAGGCTTCCGCACAAGTGGGACAGCTCGCACCCTCGCCGCCACACCACCTGCCGCGTGGAAGGTTCCATGAGCTTTTCCGAAACGCGTTAGCGCAGAGCCAGGTCGGGGCTAAAAGGATGGCTCACCCCACCATCTCCCGGGGCTGCGTCCTAAACTTTTTCCTGAAATACGTAAGCTTTCAGCGTTCATCCGTCCTCGCGGACCAACGCATAAACAAACAAACAAACAAAAAAGCTGGTTGAACAAGCAAGGACGAGGGGTTTGAAACCTGACGGGGAAATGAGAAGCTAAAAAACAAACCACTTGAGAGCCTTTCCACCCGGGCTGCTGACCGGAGCCCACCGACGCGCCGCGGTCCCCAGGAGCAGGCCGGCTGCGGGCGGCCATGGCGACCTCGGGGCCCGACGGGGGCCGCGAGGGGCCAA